CAGACTGCCTCTCCCACTTGTAGACACTGGCTTACTGTAGCATTTTGCCTAATTCAAGTGGAAAAGAACAGAAACCATTTCAGAAAGGACAACTATAAAATTGTTCATTCTGAGGGAAAGAAGTCACTCCCTTGGGAATAAAACAGAATCCTGGAATAGAAAGGCAGGGAACCTGGTTTGCTCTCAGCTTTCGCTCTGACCGCTGCCTATCCTTTCTCTCAGCCTCATTCTTCGCTTTGCTATCCCAGAGGCTCCTTTTCTTTCCTTCTGAATCTCTAGATACAGTGGAAGCCAATCCTAGACTCTCCCCCACTCACCTTCCCATCTCACGGAGGATTGTAATATGTTAATGCCATGCTTCAGATTCCCTGGCAGATGAAGCCAGAAAAGACTTGTCCAGGACTGAGAAGGGAAGGAGCTGGTTTGCAGGGCAGGATGGTGCTCTGGGACCCACAGGCAAAAGGAGGGAGGCAGAATTATTCTAGAGGTGATGTTCTCCTCCCTGCCTCCCTCCCTCTCTCTTCCTTGGCCTCCTCCTCTTCCTCTTTCTTTTCTCCCCTCTCTGACTTTTAGATGAGATCTCACTCTGTAGCCCAGACTGACCTTGAACTTGTGATTATCCTTCTGCCTCAGCTCCTCAAGTGCTGGGATTATAAGTATTAACCACCATGCATAGCTAACTAGAGGGTACTTTTCTCAGGACAGCGATTCCATCCTGGACCATGGTATCTGGTGTTGGTCCCTCATATAAATCTGACCTCAAATGATTTTAACTCCTGTCCTTGAGTGGCTGATGAGCCTCAGCTCTTACTAACTTAAAAAGTTAGTTTTGACAACCTGTGGGGACTTTTGACATTGAGAACTCGCATATTGAACTTGTCAAAAATTCCCAGCACAGAAACTCATCTCACATTGGCCTGCGGGCCTTAGTGTTTGAGGAGAAAATAGCCATTAGCTGAGACATGGCTGCCACACCTGATGGAGGAGCCTGTATTGCTGGGCTTTAAGTGCTGCCACTGACTTCCACACCCATGCTTTGCAAGGGGATGTGTTGTGATGTGGATTTCCTTCTGAGACTCTGTGGATGCAGGCTGTTGTTTGTCAGGGTCTAGGGCACAGTCTGTTGTCCTTAAAGCCTTGCATCAACATGGATCCATGCCAGGCTGAGCTCCAGAGGGAAGAAAAACGGGCTGGGGTTCATTCTTTTTCCTTCTTTTTCTTTAATTGAAAATAGATTTTTTTCCTCACATAATATCCTGTTTATTGTTTTCTCTTCCATTACTCCTCCCAGTTCCTCCTCACCACCCTTCCTATCCAGATCCACACCCTTCTGTCTCCCATTGAAAACAACCAGGCTTCTAAGGGCTAATAATAAAATTTAATAAGATAAAACAAAAACTAACACATTGGAGTTGGGCAAGGCAAAAAGGCACAAACATCACAGAGCCACTTGTTCATATACTCAGGAATCCCATAAAAACACTAAACTGGAAGCCCTAAATGTCCATAGAGGACCTGGTGCAGACCTGGGCGGTCTCTGTGTATGCTGCTTCAGTAGCTGTGAGTTTGTGTATATGATGATCTTGTTGATTTAGAGGGCCTTGTTCTCTTGGTATTCTCCATCCTCTCTGGCCCTTACACTCTGCTCCTCCTCCACGGGGTTCCCTGAACCCTGAGGGGAGGGATTTGCCAGAGACACCCCATTTAGGGCTGAGTGTTCTAAGGTCTCTCACTCTCTGCATAGTGTCTGGCCATGGGTCTCTGTATTTGTTCCCTGCTACAGGAGGAAGCTTCTCTGATGACGGCTGGGCAAGGCACTGAACTGCATCCCTAGATCGAGCTTGGGGTTGATTCTTCAGAGAACAGACCAGGCACAACCAGTGGTAGCAGTGCAACCTGAACTAATTTGAGCTCTGGTTGAACATGTAGGGGGAAGAGACCGAAAGGAAATGTTAAGAATTATGGGAGTCCATAATTTTCCTGCCTCTATTTTTCTTTAGAAAGGTCAATAGAGTCACAACTCACCTCTGATCACAGCTTTGCTGGGCTGTAAACCAGGTTTAGGTGGGAGTGGGGGAGATTTGACTGGCTGAGGGTAGATAAGGTGCCCGGATCTCACTCAGTCCTCTGAAATCACATTAGATGAAGCAGTCAAGTTGAGAAGTTTCTAACTAGATGTGAGAAAGGGTGAGTGGAGCCCAGACAACCCAGAAAGCCCCAGGAGAGTCTGGTAGGGAAAGCAGCATTGACTGTCAACTTAGCTTAGGGTCATTTGGAAAGGAAGTCTCAATTGAGAGCTTGAAAAGATCAAATTGGCCCATGGGCATGTCTGTGAGAAAGTATCTTTGTGGTTACCAGGTATAGGAGGGTTCAGTCCTCAGTGTGCAGCTCCATTCCCCGAGCAGGTGGTCCCGAACTGTGTAAGAAAGCTCACTGAACATGGACCCGAGCAGGCCCCAAGCAGTGCCCCTCCAGGGTTCTCCTTCAAGATCTTGCTTGAGTTCCTGCCCTAACTTTCCTCAACGGGAGACTATGACGTGCAAGTGTAGACCAAATAAACCCTTCCTTCCCTTAAATTGCACTTAGGCAAAGTTTTTTTCCCCCCACAGAAACAGAAAACAAGCTAGAGCAAGCAAGGTAGAAGGAAGTGAATAGAGGGAGGGGAGGAAAGTCCTTGAGAGCAATGCCTGTTGGTCCTGGAAAGTACCTACCCCTCTTCTTTCCCTGAGATGAATTGCCAGTCTTCCAAAGTTGGGCCAGCTAACCTAAAGAAAGTCTGTTTGATCAACAGAGGTTTTTCAGAGGGTAGGACTATGTTTTCATACACACACACACACACACACACACACACACACACCACACGCACGCACGCACACACGCATGCATACATGCACACACCAATCTCCCTGAATTGGTTGTTCACTTGGAGTGCCTTAGACTTGTTCCCCTGCATCTAGCCTTCACTGGTACTTCATGGCTACATCCATCACACTCGCATCTAGCAAAGCCACACAGTAGTACCTGTGAGACACACAGTGCTAAGGAGGGGAGAGCCTGGACGGGAGGGGTTGCCTGCTGGATTGGGCCAGAATCAGCCCTACAGCAAGAGCTGCTGGCATATGCATCTCCTCTGCAAATGTTTACCATTATTAGTTGCCTAATCTTGGTTTGCTTTTTTGTTGTTGTTTTGGTTTTGTTTGGCTTTTATTTTTTTCTGTTTGGGGGAACATGAATCTTATACGTCTCTGCATACTTCTAAAAAGTGCCTGATAAGGAAGTTGAAAGATGGATTATCGTAAGGGAGAGGGTTGAATGTACTCACTACTCCCTGGTGAGAGGGCCATCTGGTTGACCCCTCTGCTTTCAGCAACAAAAAATAAAACGTGGAACCACCCACTGTCCCATCATGACCAACAAGTTATACCCATGCCAACAGTGCGGCTCCTGCTGTACACCTGCCACCTGCCATCTCCTGTATCTCAGCCCCCAATACCTCAGGCTTCTGCTGCAGAGATGCCTTTGTTAGCTGGGAGTTCATCTCCTTTCACTTCTCCTGAGTGTTATCCTGCTGTCCCTTTAGCTTTCTGTTCATCGCGTGAAGCAAGCATGTTATATGTGGGTGTCAGCATTCATAGCTGTCTGCAGGTCGATAAATGCTGATCTCCAAGTGCTGGAAGCTGCCCCATTCTCCCTGCAACATCTAAAGCCACAGCTTCCCGTGTTGGAACTTAAGTGCAGTGAAAGCTCTTCCCTTTCTCCTCTTATTGTTGTGCAGGAGATGTTCCTGTGTTATTTAGCAGTGATGGTGATGAATAGCAAAGCAATAGCTAAATCTCCTGCCGTCCTCTTAAGCTACAGCCATGACTTGATATCATATTGTGGGTATGCCTAGGCCAGAAAAGGCACATGGCTAACCAAGTGTTGTCTGTTATATTGGTTTGTGATTTTTTAATGAACATTCAGTTGTGGAGATGAATTTGAAATGAAGATGTATTTATATGCTGCATCTACTTAGAGATCCTGTCTACCCTACTTCATCTTGGCTTAGTTAACATCAGCTGAAATGATTGACATTATAAAAGGCATTATTCTCAGATTGATGATGTGTATAACTGCACTGAGGTCATATGTCTTTTGTTTCTGTATAGATTTTTCTGTGTAATTAACAATAATTATTACTATTTAACTGTTCTAGCAGTACTTACTATTAGATATTAATAATGCCCCATTTGTTTTTCAAGGAATCCCAGTGAGGATCATAAATTACATGACCACCCTAATCTGAAGGGAAATGAAGTTTAGTCTCCTTAAGCCATAAGTATGTTGAGTTCCTAGATTTGTCCATCTACTCACCTCCTTTAGTGATATCTCCAGATGTCCTTCCCACCCTGTACCCTTGCAAAAACATACATGTTGTATTGTACCATGGAGGGTGCTGAGAGAATCTGCTAGGTGAGAGACCCAGGGGCCTGAGACCTGAGGAACTCTGCAGCTTGCTTACAAAGCCAGAGACAGAATGCGAGTCTCATGATAAGTGGCACACAGTATGTGCTAACTAAATATTCAAGCTTGGTAGCTACTGGTCAAAGCTAGCGGTGTGGACATAAAGAAAGGACAGGAGAAGAGAAGACCTGGGACTGGCCCTGTTCATCATGCTTGAGTAAGATTCCATGGAGACTCCATGGGGCTTTGACAAAGGGAGCCTCCAGGCCAGCCTGTGCGGTAGTCTAGCTCATCGGGGTATTTTGTGAGGGTGGCATTCTTCTAAACATGGCACCATGTCAGATTCCTTGTGGAGACAGTCTCCCCTGACACGAGGAGGGGCAGAGCAGGTCCTGGGGTGCTGCAGGCAGCAGGGCTGGGGAGCAGCTCGTGGCAGTCTGATGTTGGCAGAGGTTTCTGCCGCTGCCCTGTGTCCTGAGTGAAGTGGCAGCAGCGGCTGACTTGGCCTGTCCCCACTGTCCTGCTCACTGGGTTCTCTCTTGCTGTGGTTGTTGTAGGAGCTGGTGGGGAGTAACCCTCCACAGAGAAACTGGAAAGGGATTGCAATCGCACTGCTCGTCATCCTGGTCATCTGCTCCCTGATCGTCACCTCCGTCATCCTGCTGACACCAGGTACGGACGCTTCCAGAAATCCACTCACAAACATTTGAAAGTGGGCAGTCTTACTGTGGGATATTTCCTAAGTGGCTGTTGGCTGCACGGTTTATTCTTACCAGGTTCTAGCTCTCATTATACCATTGTAGAAAGATATCGTTCATTTTAAGTGAAAACAAACCCATTTCTGTGCTTTAAATTTTTATATAGTTGTTGACTAGATAAAAATGGCATAGATTAAAAATTTGCTGTTGTTTGTTCATCTTGAAATTAGTGGCATTAGAAATAATTTAATATATCCCATGGTATTCCTGGGTGTTAGAAAAAGGCTGAATTAAGAAAATGTTCAAGCAATACATGATGATTGTGAGCCAAGGGCAAATTTCTTATTAAATAACACTGATGGATTTTAATACTGATGGATCCGGGGACAAAATTCTCTCTGGTAAGAGAAGACATACTAGAATCCATAGCAGTGCCCTGAGAGCATCAAGTTCACCTGCATGGTCTGTGCAGTAGCTGAGACAGAAATGCTTGGGAGCCTTACAAACAGAAAGGCCTTTAACTTTAGTTTACTTTACTTTAGTTTTTTTTACCTCCACATTTGTGAATAAAGTGGGGTGTGGGCTGGGCCTCCCAGAGTGGTAAAAAAGGGAGCCTTTGCTCGTAAGATAGCCATGCAGAAGGGGTCGTGGAACAACACAGGGGCCAGAGAGCAGCATACACTGCTTACACCATTATCATCCTCACGTTAGATGCTCATGCACAGGAGCAAGATCAGCAGCGTCCCAGTTCTCTGCATGTGTGTTAGCCGTCAAGGTGGGAAAGTGGCTGGATACTGCAATGTGGGGGACAAAAGATAGGTACAAAATGCAGGCAAGTGGTTAAACCATTAGACCAAGTTGTAAGTGAAATAAAATTGTTATCTTTGTTAAAAAGTGGTAGACACTGCCAGGGAACAATAAAAACTGCAGACCAGTGTCCCTTGTGAGGACAGATAACACAGAAAGCTAGTAGCAGACCTAACACGGTAACATGTAAAGACAGGACAGGGGTCTGGATGGTGGCTCTGCTGCCGAGGTCACAGAGCACCAAGTTCAGCTCTCAGTCCCCACATGAAGTGGCACACAGCCACTCGTAACTCCAGCTGCAGGGGCTCTGATGCCCTCTTCTGACCTCCATAGGTGTTTTACTCAGGTGCCCCACACACACATGCACACACACGCATAAATAAATAAATAAATAAATAAATAAATAAATAAATAAATAATAAAATCTTAAAAAGATATTACATGCCATGGCCAAGTGGGATTTATCCTAATTCGGGAGTATTAAGTCAACGTACAAAGCTCAGTGAAATGTACCTGTATTCACAAAACAACATGCAAACCCACAGATCTTATAGACAACCGGAGCGTGTCAGTGCCACGGAGCGTGAGCAGAGTCAGAGGCCACTGTGTGCGATATCTGTTTGTCCTTTTGTGTCCCAGTAATTGAGTGCAATCTCCAGGCTAGGGAATGGGTGCCTGTCCCTGCCACACTATCTCACAGGCCCTCACTGTCTTAGTATGATGTAGGAGTGTCATATATCAATCTGTTGATTTCATTGGTTAATTAAATAAAGAAACTGCTTGCCCTGATAGGTTAAAACATAGGTGGGAGGAGTAAACAGGAGGAAGAGGAAGTGAGGTAAGACTCCTCAGACAGAAGAGACAGCTCTGCTCTCTGGAGCAGAGGCCATGCTTCGCTCTCCCAGACACACACAATGAAGCTCCCACCCAGGATGGATGTAGGCTAGAATCTTCCCGGTAAGCACACCTTGGGGTGCTTATACACATTATTAGAAATGGGCTACTCCAGGTGCGAGAGTTAGCCAAGAAGAGGCTAGATATAATGGGCAAGCAGTGTATAAAAGAATACAATTTGTGTGTTGTTATTTCGGGCATGAGCTAGCAGGCGGCTGGGGTGCTGGGGACGCAGCCCTGCCGCTCCTATTACAACATTAGTATCTTTTTCTAAATTGTATTTTATTTTCAATTTTATTTATTTGTGGTGTGTCTGTATGTCTGTGTGTAGGTTTGGGCTTGTATGTATAGGTGCTTTCAAAGTCCAGAAGTGGCACTGGGAACTAATGTCCAGGCCTCTGGGAGGACAACACAGACTCTCAACCATTGATGCAATGTTCCATGGCCTTTGATAATATCTGTTAATACACAAAAGACTTTAAGTTTGACAAAAACATAAACCTCTTTGGTTATTTATGTGTAAGGGTCATAGTGAAGGAAGTGTTTTTAGTCCATGGCTACAGAGATTAATTCCTATTACCCTTCAAAGAATTTTAACTGTTTTAGTTTTTGTATTTAGATCCTTGATCCACACTGAGTAAATTTTGTGTAGTAGATCTGACCTCATTTCTGGTGTGAGAATATGCAGTTGAAACAGCATTGTTTGTCAACTGCTCCATCCCCTGTGTAGTCCTAGCCCCCTTATAGCTATGTGGGGTTAGTGCAGAACCCTCTGTTCAAATGCACTGATCTGTGTGTCTGCAGGTATGCCCGTAGCACAGCTGTTTTAAAATTATGAGGTTTGCCTCCTAAATGCTTATTCTTACTATTGCTTTGATCTCCTCACGTTGCTATAAGAATGCGAAATAGGCGTTATGGTGGTGAGCTTTGCTACTTTCCTCTCAGTTCTCTTCTTGCTGTGGTAAACACCATGTAAAGCAAATGAGAGAAGGAAGAGTTTATTGTGGCTTATGGTTCCTGAGGGCCAGTGCTCATAATGTCAGGGCAGAGACAGTCGCCAGGTGGCTGGAGAAGGATGCTGAGAAGCACAGAACAGAGAGAGCAAAGGAGGAATGACCAGAGTCTTTAAGGTCTTAAAGCCTACCCTTAGTGGCACACTTCTTCCTCCTAAGCCCTCCCAAACAGAGCCACTAACCAAGGACCGTGTGTTTAAACATATGATCCTATGGAGACGTTCTCATTTGAACCACCATGGCAAACTATTGTGTGCTGTGAAAGCTTGCTTGAAGACAGACTCAGGGAGCAAGGGGGTCTTCCCTTGTCATCTGAAGTTTTGTCAAGCTACCTTCCCAGAGCCAAGAACTCTCAATTAGAAATGATTGGTAGTTATTTTTAAAAGAACATGTATTATGCTCCTTTCTCTGTGGAATGCCATTCTTTCCTCCCAGTGTTGAGGAGGCTTCCACAGCAGTCCTGCAGGAGAGAGCCTCATCCCATCCTGAGCGACCTGGAACCAGAGGTGGAGGACATAAGGCATCACATCCACTTGTATAGCACAGAACATTGATTGGGAGACTGGAATCTGGATGAGGGGTGTGGAAAGGCCTGTGGACAGATTAGGGAATACAGACCCTCGTGAGTGTCGTGGCTGAGCAGGTGCAGCAGGGACAAGAGCAACTGCAGAGTCATAATGAACACGAAGGAACTGGGGCGCTCTCTGGATGTGGGGAGCACGGGGCCTTTGCTTTCCCTTGAGCAGAGATGTGCTTTGGTGAGAAGTGACTTCCACAGCTTTGATCCCATGATCATGTCACACTTCCTCAAGACTTAGAATGGGGAAATGGTTTTCAGAGATTCTCCTGCCCGATGTGAAGTTTTGCCAAGTCCACCTCCCCCAGGATCAAGGACTCTTATGAGCATTACTCAAGAGTGGGATGTGGTGAATGGAGGCAGCTGGTGGCAACAGGGCCATAGTACATGGCAATAAATAGCCCCAGACCTGTAAAGTGGCTCCTGGAACCATCCTGACAGCTAACCCTGAGCTTTACATCACTTCCATAGCATAGGAGCAACCATAGAACAGGGGCCCCTCTAACTCCAGCAGAGAACACAGTCACAGCCCCCTCTAACCCCAGCAGAGAACACAATCACTGCAAAGGTTCTGTCAGAGGGTGACACCAGCTGTCAGAGAAAAAGATGCTATAGAAAGAAGGAAACTGAAGCCTTGCATGAGTTTCCATATCCCAAGAAGACTTTGAAAGGATGTTTCCTTTACTCTTCCATTGAAATAAGCATATGGTTGAGCCTTGTCTAGCCCTCTGGTTCTGGAGACATCCATGGTAGTGTCTGCTTCTGTAGGTTGTGCTGCTGGGGAGCTATGTGTCCGGGACTTGAGAGGACCAGGCAGGCTGAACGCTCAGCACAGAAACCATGCAGGGCCCTCCTGGCATTCACATTCCATTTCTGTGTTCCCAGAGCAAAGAAGCAGCTTTGTTTTGACACTGAAAATTGTGCCAGGTGTCCAGCCTGTACTGCTCTGAAGTGTCCCCAGATCCCCTTGGATACAGAATATCCTCACGGGAGCCCAAGAGCTAAGCTTGCCCTCCTTCTAACATTAATAATTCCATTGGGAGCTGCAACCGCTGTGCTAACATCGAGCAAATGCAGAACGTATAAATATGTGAGTTCCCCTTTGAGTTAGAAGCAGGAGGCAAGGGGTCCCAAGTGTTGCTATCATTAAGAAAAATAAGCCATAAAGCAGGGTAGGGTTGAACTCAGGGTACAAGAGGGAAGAGGGCTACAGTGCAGAGTCCTCAAAAGAACAGCCATACCATGTGGTTACAAGCAAGCAGCTTTGGGCACAACCCCATAGCTTTTCCCTGACACAACCCAAGCATTGCCTTCATGTTGATTGGCTCAAGAAAACTTTCAAAGCGAATGTTTTCCAAGAACTCACAGATTCTGACATTGTGTCCTAGAAACTCAGCATCTAGAATATGCTCACCCCACTCTCAGTTCTGGACTCATTTGCTTTGTTTTGTTTGAGACCATTTTTGCAGTGCTTGAAAAAGAAAAGAAAAGAAAAGAAAAGAAAAGAAAAGAAAAGAAAAGAAAAGAAAAGAAAGAAGGAAGGAAGGAAAAGAAAGAAAGAAAGAAAGAAAGAAAGAAAGAAAGAAAGAAAGAAAGAAAGAAAGAAAGAAAGAAAGAACCCCAGTTCCAACTCCGCAAGCAGGGTCTGGTGGAAGGGTGTGCTCTGGGGCAGGGGACTCTGGG